CTAATATGTATATGAAAAGACGTTCATATACATATTTATTTACTCACAAGGAAAATGAAGATTAAAATAACATGATGCTACTTCATAGTCACAGAAAGGTTGTAATAAAAATCAGAAAATATGTTTTGGTTGGAATGTGGAAAAGCTGGAATCTTTATACACTGTAGGAGGGAATGCAGCCCTTCCTCATATATTGTAATTTGGACTTTTGGCTTTGTGCTAATTTCACTAAAGGTAAAATTTGTATTTATTAACCTTCTTGTAATTCCAAGATTATTTCCAACAGGAAAGAATCAATACCATCTTTATGCCATTATTTTAAAACATGAGGTTATATCTGACTACATGTAATTTGACAGCAAAATAGCAGGATAAAACAGTTCTACAGCCAGCTGATTCAGTGGTGTACAGCTAAGTTGAAAACACACTGACCATTAGAATAATCAGAATCTCTTAAATTTCACATTCTTAAGTAACTGTCTTGGAAATTCTGAAAGTCACAGATAGAACATGAAAGTGGATGTTAAGAAAGGGAATTAAAAATAAATCACAAGTAGCCCTAGTCTTTAAGAAGAGAATAATGGGAGCAAATCAAAATACACAAATAACTATTAAAAGGAAAACCATGAGATATCTTGAAGAGAGATCATAATCAGAAAGCACTGTGAAATTTGGAAAAAGATTCACAGAACAGCTGTTGACCTTTAAACAAGCTCTTAAGTACCTGCATGCTAGTTAGTTACATTTAATAGATACCCATTCTCATAAGTCAGAAACCTGGATTCCTTTCTTTTTTAGCTTCAACGATCATAGCCAAGTCCTTGATCCTGTCGATTTATCCTACTTATATATATATTTTAAATAATCTTACCCTCTCCTTCAATATTACCTCTTATTTCTGGATTATTACACTACTGCATTAGCTTAAGTGGCTTCCTGGCTCTAGATTTACATCACTGCACTCCATTCTCTACACTACCACCAGAGTAATAATTCTAAAACGCAAATACAATCATGACCACTCTCAGACTGAATCATATCAGCAGCTCTATACCCCATGGATAACAAAGAACAAATTTCCCTTTGCTCTACCTATAAGGCACTCCACATGTCTAGTTACCATCAACAGTTTCATCTACTTCTCCATAGAATGTACTCTCTACTTTAGCCAAACAGGAACCACTTTGCAACTCAAAGTGCACTCTGACCTTATCTTTGCAAATAAACTGAAATATCATTATATAGATATTTCATGTAAAAAGGAGAGGGTTGAATGAAATGATTAGGACTTTTTGCAGTTGTAAAAGTCTGTGTATGTGTTCTATTGTCTATTTTACCTTTTAAGTTAGAAAAACTACAGAGCTACAGAGGGACAGTAAATATAAGAAAATGGGTTATAATGGATTATAATCACTATTTTTTTTCTTTTTTCTTTTTTTTTTAAAGATTCATTTATTTATTTGTACAGTACTGGGGTACAGACCAGAGATGAGGTGGGTGAGAGGCTTCACCAGAGACAGAGTGGGGAGCAGAACAGGCAGATCGATGAAGTACACTGCTGAGGGGAGCAGCGGGCGGGTCAGGAGAGGTCTGCCACGCCATGTGGTCACCTCCGGGGCAGGCAGGGATGGAACTCATAAGGAAGTGGCGTAAGCTTCTTAGTGTTGTGCTTTAACCCGCTGCACCACCAGGGAGGGCCATTTTTTTCTTTTTTTAATAATCATTTTCGAAGTAGTCAGAAAATCAAAGAAAACTAAAATGAATGAATGAATGAATGAATTGCCCTATATTATCTCCAACTTGTAAGAACAATGACTGATTCTGACCTAAATATAATAATGATGGAAAACACATCTCAATGAAAATCTCGAGAGAGGCCATATTTGGCATCTCAGTGGATGAAAATCCTCACTTAAGTTACATAGCATTTCAAAGCAGGTTGCTGGTTAAATAATTGCTTCTCCCAAAAGTACACTGCTGTGGAGGTTGAAATATGAGACACAATGAAATTACTATGTCAAGGTCATAAAATAAGTCAAGCAAATTCCAAAACAGAACCTTTGATCTGAAGTCCAGTTTTATGTTCCAATCTTTTGAAAATGGTCCAGCTCTGTAAACTCTTAATTTTTTAAAGGATTTATTTATTCATACAAGAACTGAGGTCTGGGGGCGGTGAGAGGATTCACCAGAGACGGAGTGGGGAGCAGAGCAGGCAGATCTACTGAAATACACAACTGAGGGAAGCTGTGGGCAAGATAGGAGAGAGGTCTGTGTGCACCATGTCGGCTGGCTTCCTGATAGGATTGTGGGGGGCTTGAACTCATGCTGCAGTGGCTGCCAATAGCTTCATATTGCTGAGACTTAACCCCTTGTGCCACCAGGTAGGCCCTAAACTCTTAATTATATTCTCCTCCGTTCATGTTAGTTCAGTTAAATTTATCTGCTACTTTTAAAGAGAATTCTGAAAAGGTCTGTACTTTGCTACTCAAGAGTTTTACCATAAAGAAAAAAAAAAAGGAGGTAACCAAATCTACTTGAAAATCATCTCTTTATCATTGTCTGAAAAATGAGGTGACACCCTGACTAAGTTCTTTTGGATTTTCACCCCTCTTCATGAGTGTATAAATCACATGAGCTGCTTTCACAATAAAATTTGGGAAAGAAGTGGCAGGAACATCGTAAGTATTTTAATGTTGAAGCAAAATGAATAAATCTCACTTTTTAAACAACCACTTATTAAGTACCAAAACACACAAAACTAAAAACTCAGGACAAAAACAGTGTTGGCATGGTTAATGACCTTCCCCTAAAACATGTTCTATCAACACCTTTCTATTTCTGTCACTTGTACCAAACTATCAGTAGAGACATGATTTTGGCTAAAAACCCCACTTAGGAGTTCAAAGGCAAGTTATTAACCTGCATAAAGCTCTTTTACTTCTGTGAAAAGAAAACAATATTTATGTCAGATCTAAGTGCTAGGGGTAGAACCACCGCACTGTTTTATATTCTCACCAACAGTGAGTATGGGTTCCAATTTCTACTCCATATTTTCACTAACACTGGTTATCAACTATCTTTTCAATTTCACAATCATCATATTATGTGTGAGTGGTGATTCAGTGAAGCTTTGTTTTACATTAACGTTTTGCTTAATGATTTTAAGTATCATTTATAGCTATTTGTGTATCTTAATAGCAATTAGTGTATCTTTTTTGGAGAAATGTCTCTTCAAATCCCTAGTCCCTTTCTTAATTGAGCTATTCTAAAAAATTTATTGAGTTATAGAAGTTCTTTATGTATTCTGGAAATAAAGTCTTTTATTAGACACTTACTGACATTTTTCTTTTATTCTATGATTTGTCTTCATTTTCTTAATGGTACTGCATGATGTATAAAATTTTTCAATTTTGATGTAGTTATTTAAGTATGTTTCTCCACACCTATATACTTTTTGTTATATCTAAGAAGCCTCCCTGTCTAACCCAACATCATGAAAAGTCCTGTGTGTTTTCTTCTAAGGCTTTTAATAGTTCCAACTCTTATATATGGTCTATGGTCCATTTTGATTTAGAAGGAACAGTAAACTTCAGCTTCTGCCAGTCCCTTATGTCTCAGTCAAATATCACTTTGTTACAGGCCTCAGTTTCAGGCACATGGCTCTCTGTCTTACTCTTTTCACAAGCATGCTCTAGTCCAAAGTTCCTACTGTTCATGCATTTATGGTCCCTTTTGCCCTTTAAAGATGTTAGATCTTCAAAAGCCATGACTCTGAGCTCTGCTTCGTGTCTATGTTCCCGGCATAGGTCATAGTGGGTATCCTACAAATATCTGTAAATCTTTACCAGGAAAAATCAACATGAAAAATGAATGTTCAAATGAGAGCAAGACAGATACCAATAAAATGCAGGAGGATTTAATTTTTTTTTTATCAGCAAAGAGCTTTATTGTTTTCTTTTAATGCATGGCTTAGGAGAGAGCTCTAAAGGGAGGCTCAAGTAAAAATCATTTATACCAAGGATGTCACTTTGAAAGAGGAATGACTTCATAGTCAAAGCAAAACACACACACTGCCTAAAGCCTTTAACAATAGTCATTCACCTAATTTAGGAGTCTTAACAAACTCACCTACCTCAAGGCTTAACCAATTTTTATGGCTACTCCATGATTCAATAATTTGTAGCACAGAAATGATGTTTTATAAGTAATAAATAAGAAGCAAATAATAACTAAGTTTTCGCCATGTGCTAAAAAGTGCTGTTAAAGTTTTATACATATCAAATCATTTAGTCCTTATAATTCTATAAGTACTTACTCTATATGAAATGGGTCTCTTTAACCAAAATAAATTAATTTTCCTAAAATTATCTAGATCGTAATGAATGGAGTTGAAATTTAAATATAGACAATTAGACAATATGTACTATAAGACCTAATATAAAGTTGAAAATAAAATTAAAGAGGGCAAAAATATATTAAACAGGAAACATAATGGACTGATGATAGTTCATGGTATAAGAGATAGCTGACATGGCTTCTCTTCATGGATCTTTTCACATTGTAATATATTGTAGGACTACTGTTAATATACAGTTTTTCTTTTGTAATTATGACTTTAGTCAAATAAGTTTCATTAAAATGAAATATATTCATGCTAAACTAAAAAACAATAAAATGAAACCCCATGTATCTGTGTCATAATATCAACATATGACCAACTTCACTTTATGTATATTAAATATATACATATACTGGGTTATTTCAAAACAAACCTTGAGGTATTAAGATCAACAATCTTCATTCCAATCCTTAAAAGACTTGATTGAATCTAAAATATTCGCAGGCACCATAGTACAATGGGACTATTATAAATTGGAAAAAAATATAAATTTTAGAAAATAAGTAGGTAGGATTTTTGTGCCTATCATGCTGATAAAATATTATTTCCAAATACAGTGAAGGTCAACAAACACTATAGGAACAATTAAATACCAACATACCTGTTTATCTCCCAGCAGGTCAGGCTCCCCCTTACTAGAACCAGAGCTGACATCATCTTCATCAGAACTGTCAATTCCTTCTTCTTCATCTGAAGGAAGGTCAGCAAGACCAAGATCCAGATCATTGTGGTCCTCCTGGCATGCTCCAGAGGTGCTTCAATAGAACATATTGCATTAGTCACCTTTACAACAAAGAATACCACAAATACACACATAAACAAAATCATCTTATTCTTGTGATAGAAGCAAGGCACGTCAAAGGACTATAGAGCAATGGGAAGAACCAGATCAAATAAATGTTCCCTTCCATTTCCCCATCTCAATGGGCAAAAACCCAAATTTACTTTGTTTTTAAAATGAATCATTTGAAAAATATATATTTCTGTGACAGGGAGGATAGAACAAGCAAGTTCCCCTGCTGCTCCCTTCTAGCTTCCACATATCTTTACCCTAGATCAGATCTCTACTCTAGTATAAACGAAGAAGCCTAATAGCTATGTTGACACAAAAGGGCACTGTCTGCACAGGAACATTAGAAGAGACACTGCTGCCTCAGTAATTTGTTGTTTTGTTTGTTTTAAATCAATGAACAAATCTATGAAGATTTGGAGGTAATGATGGAGATCACAATCAACAATGCCTGTGCTATTGGGAAATTTTGTGCCCACCTCCTTGGTTATCACTGATTGCCTTTTATGTAACCACAGCATAAATAAGGGAAGGACATTACACATTCTTGGGCCCTGTTCCAAGACCCACTGAATCAGAAAGTGTAGGGGTACATGGCCCTTCGGAAATACACACTGAAGTTTGAAAAACACTTGACCAGGGCATTTACCAACTCCTCCTTGTCAGCCTGACATCATCAACATTTCCTATTTGGTACTAAGACAGAGCTCTAGACTCTAAAAGCCATTGCTGCAATCCAGTCTGTGGGGGGAATTCCACAGGAAAGTTCCCTAAGACGGCAATGGAAAGAATTCCTTCTAACTTTGGTTGCAAAGACTCAGGAACAAACTGCCTGTAGCAATTGTTTTCCAATCTAGTCTTCAAGAATATCTCCAAAACTGAGGAGTCAGTAAAAAAAAAAAAAAAAAAAGATCCATAGAAAACCACTTAGGGGAAACAGTGGCAAAATAAAGACAGCTGAATTTCACTTATGCAGACCCCTATAAGCAGGTCATGGGTAGGTTACACTCCTGCTAAGGCTCCTACAAGTTATGAGAATTTCTAATAAGAATCTTAAAACTAAAAGATAAATTTTCTGATTGCATTCTATAGGATACAGACTTGCCTCAGAACTAGATTCTAGTTGGATGGAGGCAGGATGCCAAAATGAATACCTCCCATTGTCAAAGACAGGGTTTCCCATTACTCAGTGGCTGGGGGGTTCTGGAAATTGTCACAGCCTCAACTAGGTGAGTACATACCTTATCACAGCTACCCATGACAGTGAGGATACTCATTCCCTGGGCTGGGGTGAGGGATATAGAGAGGAAGCCTTCTAGTCAAATCACTGGCAAGAGTCACTGTCTCTAAGAGCAAGAAAATGAGCCCAAATCCACTAGGTGATTAGTTGATTTAGATTAGCAAGAATCAATGACTAACAAGTACAGACTGCAGGATCCAGTCATATAAAAAGAAGACAAGGTACCTTTGTCAATTTTTATCTTAATTCTTTACTCTACATCCTGGAAGACCCTCTTACTCAAAATAATTTCAACCTATGAGTAGCTTCATTATCACCAGGGAATTTCTTAATACAAAGCCTCAGGCCCTGCACCTACTTACTGAATCATAATCTGGTTGTAAGAAAGTTCCGGTAATTTTGGAGTTTTGGATCAGCCCCTATATGTGCTATTTTAGAATTCTCAGTAAAAAATTTTTTTGAATAATCAGTAATAAAACCATGGTACCTGTGATGAAATTGCATTTATAAATCTAAAGAGAAAGCTGAGAGATGGTTTTGCTCCAATGTTTGGAAATCCGTTAAGAATATAGTAATTGATTTGTTTATAAAAGTTAACATTTAAGAAGCAGGGAGAGGCCCTCCTGGTGGCGCAACGGGTGACAATGCAGCACTGCAAGCTGGCTGCAGCTGCTTCAGTGCAAGTTTGATCCCCAGCCCCCGAGGTGACCCACATAGCTCCGCAGACCTCTCCTGACCCGCCCGCTGCTCCCCTCACAGCAGTGTACCTTGTTGACCTGCCTGTTCTGCTCCCTACTCTGTCTCTGGTAAAGCCTCTCACCACCCCTGCACCTCTGGCTTGTACCCCAGTTCTGTGTGTATAAATAAATAAATCTTTTTAAAAACTAATGAACAACTATATACCAGAGACATTTTACCAGGGTGGAATGGGGAATGGGATAAAAAATGGGGGGGTCGGGGAGCAGAGTGCACTGGACTCGGTGATGGCACACGGGTGTATTTGGTGATGCCCACAGTGATTACAACTGAGATGGAAAAAGGCACAAAATGATGTAAAAATAAACTATTATACTATTTTTCTAAAAATACTCATAAAACATGAGGGGAGGGTTAGTTCTGAAAATTGCTTTCCTACTGAAAATCTCTTCTGACCACTCCTCATATACCCTGAATTAGTTTTTGTCTATTCAGAATTCTATAAAAACTCAGCTAGCAGAGTATTTCTTTCCCTCACTAAAATGTAAGCTCCTAAGGGTAAAGAAATTGTCTTATTTCAATTGACTCCCCAGCAGGCTTTCAAAAGTTTTTACTGAATAAAGACAAATGAGAGTAGAAAGCCATGGGTGATAAATTTCAGAAGACAGTATTTATGGAAGTCCATATAAAAAGGTTTCAGGGAAATACTGAAAAAAAAAAAAAAAGCATATGGCTGAAAGAAAAATGGGCATTTTGGGCTTCACAAAATTGGGATATTTGTATTCAGAAAACAAAAATAATATTTTGGCTGCAGCAGGAGTCTCCTATAAGTAATTAAAGGGAAACAATCCTGAAGAAGCAACTAGTTTAAGGCCAGGTATGGGGTGGGGTGGGGAGGAGGGCCTGAAAAATAACTAAAGTTATACTCATTGTGTTGGCATTCAACAAGGAGCCTCAAATCTTTTAGTACACTTAACAGACCTCTAACCTACACACCACTGCCATACTTGTATTTTTTGTAAAGCACAGCCCAGCTCCTAAGCAGGGAAAAGGTCATCACTGCTTATTAGCACCTGTGAGCTCCCCTGGGTGCTTTCAAAACTTAAATCAAAGTTAAAGGAGTTCATTACACTCCTGGAATAAACCATAGAGATCATGTATGCTTTCTGAAGCTTAGAAGAGAGGAAAGTGGGATTTTAGGAGGATAAATTTTGCAAACCACTGCCAATTACTAACTTGGGGTCAATGGGCAAGTTGTGATGGGAGAAGGGGAAAACAGATAGAAGCAGTGGAATGAGATGGCAGGAGGAAACTTCAAAAGTGCAGGTGAGGCCCTCCATGGTGGCCCAGTGGATTAAAACACTGCACTAAGAAGCTTAAACCCCTTTGCATAAATTCAATCCCTGCCTGCCCCCAAGGAGATCCACATGGCGAGGCAGACCTCTCCTGGCCCGCCTGGTGACCTGAATCAGGAATTGAGAGGAAGGTATGGATGTAAAAGGATAAACAAAAGTAAGAAAAATCTCAAGTTTTCATATTCAGTCTATGGTAAAATGAGGATGACATCAACTGAAAGAGAAATATGTTAACAAAGGACTTAATGGATAGCCAATGGGTTCACCAGAAAAGTCAGGGAAGGTAGCATCTAGTATCCACATTTACATGTTCATCTCTACATGATTAAAGAGGAAAAGAGTTAATTCCTCTGTTTTTCCATGTCATTGTTAATAGTTTTCAGATAACTTTAGATTTCTGGTATGAAATATGGATGCTTCACTGATGCCAATCATGAGTTCCACTCTTAAACTTCTTTGCCAATGTCAAGAAGATAATTTGAATAGTGTCTGCTTTGTGGATTAAAGAAACAGGACATAGTGTTTCCTCTATACGTTTCCTGTGTTGTTATTTTATAACTTGATAACCCAAGTAAAGGAAAGTAAGCAGCGACAACAGCCAGAACAGAATCAAGATCAGGCTCTATTTACATCCCATGTCATCCTTTTCAGGTCAGATTTGCTTTTGGAAAGAGTCTTGCTTCTAGAAAACAAGTATGCATCAAGTATGCTGAAATAAAGACAGAGAATAAAGCCAGATGTAGATTCCTATTTATTAAGCCAACCATTTCTTCAATTTCACATACCAAGGAGCCAGATATTTAGAATGATGATTACTTAATATCGTAACTTTTAAAATCATGATTTATTTTGTTGTTTATAATATTTTCTACATATGGACAGAACATCCACCACTGTAAACACACCATTTTCTCTGTTAGATAGCTCATTTAGGGTAATCTCTCTTTCAGAAGAATGATCTTTTTTAAAATATGTATTTATCCTTTTTCTCTAAGACTTCAGAAACTCAAAACCTGCATAGTGATAAGCAAGGCATAAATTTGTCACCCTTCATCACCATTAAATTAAACCTCCATTAAATTAGAAATTCTAGCAGAGGAGGACAGCAGAAAAAGTAAAGGAAGAAGCAGACTTAACTGAAGAAAGATTTTTTAAAAGTCAACATTGTGGGCCCTCCCTGGTGGCGCAGCGGGTCAAAACACAGCACTGAGAATCTAAAGC